TATGATGCATTTGAAAGCTGCTACATCCAATGTTTATATGCTAACAGTAAATTGATTATAGAGCGGCTTATAGAGAATTTTCACCAGACTCCCAGTTCCCTTCAGCTCTGCACAGAATTCTTACCCTGTTTTGGTTTGAAGGCCAAATGTTTAATGTTCTCCCGTTGTGCTGCTCGAAAAGTCCAAAAGCAAAGTTACCAACTAGCTGGTGAGCACAGGCAGGTATTTCCAAGTAAAGGTGGTTGAGCACCCACAGCAGGGCTAAAACAAAGGCAAATATTGAACTTGTTTTTATCAGGTGGTACAAAACCATCCCCAACTTAATAATGACACTGGGTCATATTGTAGTATCTGGAGGAAGTGGAAATAAAGGCGCTTGGCTCTTTTAAAGGGACAGTACCTAACCACTGGTACAGATATGTTGATGACACCTGGGTCAAAACCAAAACCCAAGAAGTAGAATCCTTCACTGCTCACATCAACTTTGTGGATAAAAACATAAAGTTCACCAGGGAAGACACAAAAGATAACAGTTTGCCATTCCTGGGCTGTGCCGTGCGCATCAAAGAGAATGCGAACCTCAACTAGTTTTAGCGGAAGCCCACACACATGGACCAGTACCTCCTCTTTGACTCCCACCACCATCTGGAACACAAACTTGGAGTAATCAGGACCCTACAACACTAGGCAGAAAATGTTCCCTCTTAGCCCAAAGGAAAAAAGAGAGAACACACACATGTAAAGGAAGCTCTTAAAACAAGTTGTTATCCTAATTGGGCTTTCATCAAGTCAGCAAAGATGCACAGAAAAGAAGATCAGACATAAACTAGGGAGGATCAGAAAGACAAATGCAACAACACTGTCATCCCCTATGTAGCCGGTTTATCAAAAAACTCAGGAGAGTCTTCTCCTACACGTCTTCAAGAAACTCAAAGAAGTCCAGACGCTTTTCTTTCCAGGCTTCTTAGACTACGATAAAATGAATGACTGAGAATCTTCAAAGACATTTTCCTAAAAACAACAGTACAGTAAAGTACAAATAAAATAAAGTACAGTAATGTAAAAAAAAACAAAAAAAACACATATATATATACAATCTGAACTAAGGCATAAAATGAAATATCCTGTCTTCTTGGAAAGCTTTCTTACATTAGTAGGAAACAAAAAAGAGTTTTTACAATATCATATCCCCTGGATGAGGTAGATTTGGTGTGTCTGTGTATATGTGTTCATGTGTAAGTGTTTTTGTGCATGTCTGTGCGTTTAAGTGTGTCCGAAAGCCTTTAAAGGACCATATGACAGGAAAGTGAGTGTATCAGCATTCTCTCAGATTTGGCCTGTGCTTTGATGCAACGTTTCCTGTTGTAGAAAATGGAAGTTATGATGGTGTAGATGTTAATAATGTCAATAATTAATGTTAATAATAACTCAGCGTCCAGCCTAACAGCTCCAGGTCAGTGGCTCTGAGTTTTACTGGCCCATGTATATTTTTACTGGTCTGCGTAAAGAGAAAATTCTTATTTATCTTAAGTATTAAATATTAATATTAGTACACCCCATGCCCCCCTTTAGACTCACCCCTGCTTGGTGTAAGTATTACAAATAGAAAAATAGGACAGCAAGCTGTCTAATTTAAATCTCACATCGGAATAATTTAACAGTTCATCTTGTTTTTTTATAATCAATTTATCCAAGTTAATCGGCGAATCTTTGTAGCTTTACTAGCAAGCCTAGCTAAAAATTGGTGCTAAATAACGAAGGAAGAATTTCAATCTCCAAAACTGAAGCAGAAACAGAAATTGTCTGTGCCGTAAAACAGGCCATAATGTTAGTCGGATAATCCTCTAGAACAAACAAGAAAGAGGTCCAGTTCAGTGCCTTTAATTAGCAGAGAGGAGGCCAAGTAGACACAGATGTCGAGCAAAGCTTCTGTGCTCCTATGTTTAAGACTTATCGGTTTCCAAATGGAAGGAAGGGGAAAACTATCTATAGAGAGCAAAAACCTTTTTGTATTAGCGTGTAAACATGCCTTTAATGGTTTAAAGTTTGGCATTTAAAATAGGAGTCTATTCCTCGCTTTTGAAGCCTGTCTCAAGTGGCCATTAAAGGAACCACAGTTTTTGGCAGTAGCCATAGCTTTACATGTAGGTGAGCACACACAGTATAAAGAAATATGCCCAGACTCTGAAATAGACTCTATATGACGTGACTAACACATTTCATTTACATTTCAGCAGTTCATACTGTATGTGCTAAGCTCATATGTAATATCTAAATATAGTTGTCTACAGATTGAATGGAATTAGCTTTTTTTTAAAGCAGTCCCTTTATGGGATAAGGTATCTTTTGGTAAAGTGTAACCACTGGCAGACACAGGTTTCAGATTTCTAGAAAGAGAATTGTGGTGTGGTTAATGCAGCCTGCTGCGTGCTGGTTAGTAATGACTGGGGAGGACTGGAATGTACCGTAGCCTGGATGGGAGGAAACGACAAAGACATTCCAGTACATGGCTTCATTCGTTCCCCTTCCCACATTCCTTAAAGGTCAACTCACCCTGCGTCTGGGTACATGTGAAAAGTGTGCGTTCCCTGACCTATAATGTGCCTGTCTTTCGACATCAAAAATCGACACCTACAATCACAGCACAGCACAGCAAAACTCAATTAGTCTGACGGTAAATTAATTCAGCACGAACAACTATGTACTGACTTTACTGATGAAGTGTGCAAAATATTCAGAACATTTATACAGTTCAAACTTTCCACAGATAATGCTTTTCCCCCTTTCTGAAAGTCTGGCAGCTGGTCAGTGAATGCTGGGATCACACTGAGTTTGTAGGCTAATGTAGGACCTTTTTGCTGCATTACAGCAGATAAGTCAAGTAAACCTTTTTGGTTTTTGTTAAGTGAAATCAGAACGATGTGGTGTTAACTGATCCTGGGAGAAAAGGAAAGATCAAGTGTGCTGCTGTTTGTTGATTTTGGAAGGGAAGTGAAGAGGAGACAGGGCTGGGCCTGAAGGTAAGGGGCCAGTGTCATGACCAGCTCTTCTGCCCATCTACTCAACGCCAACAGGATACAACGTGCGTGTGTGTGTGTGTGTCATTAGTAGCGGGTTGTTTGAGGCTGAATCGATCACCCCCCCCTCTGGCAGTGAAGTCACATTACAACTGAGACTGAGGTCACCTTCACATGAGCACAGTGCATAACTGCAGTAATATCTGATACAAAGTCCAGTGCAGGGGATTCAGACCTGGAATGTTTAATTTATTAGAGAAACAGAGTACAGTTAGAGTTTATCATCTAGGCTCTGAGCTCATCACTGACTGCACTTGTGACACACATAGAAAATGGGGAGTATTATGCTGTCAGAGCCTACAGGTGTATGGTGGGATGGTGCAGTTTTACTAGCAAGCCTAGTTAGGGGTTCACAGAGCAGGCAGCGATGGAGGGCAGCAGTAGCACTGGCAGGTCAGAGAGAGATGGAAAGTTTTGGTGCTTAAATGTACAGCCAAACTGCAAGGGTTCAGCTGTATGAACATGTTTAGCTGTCAAGTTTTCCCAATGAATATTCTTCAATGAAAATCTTAAAGGGTATGATTATACTCACATCTAACCAATAATGTTCATTATTGGTCTCCTCTAGAGTATTGGCAGGCGAAGACAACCCTTATTTAACTTATACTTAGTGCAGGAGCTTCATTTATGTTGTCTTTTTCTTATAAATGATTCAAATATTAAAAAATTGAGTCTGTCTTACCCTTGCATAATCAGCTAACTTTTTTTAGTAACTAAAAGGCATGAAAATGTGTTTTTATCTTATATCATTATCTGAGTTACAGGCCCTCACAGGGGTGGATGAACATTTAGCACTCTTTGGTTTGCATCAGATTTTCTAGAATTTCTGAGCCTCATAACTTTGTATTGCATGCACAGGAAAAAGCTTCAGTCTTTTCATGTTTATCAGGACTAGGGGAAGAGAGAACGCATGAGTGACACAAGATATGACAGCTGTGTCACGTCTGGACGATGCTCAATAAGGACAGTTATAAAAAAAAAACCCATAAAAAGTGCAAATGAAATATTTTCAAATATACATCATGACACTGACTTTCACTCATTCATAAGTACAATAATTTAAAAAAAAAAATCATACTTTTTAAAAACTCCCAGTAAACCTTTTATTCATTCTCTGCTACTCTCAGTGTTGTATCTTAAAACTTCAACAACCTTTCGGTTATTGTAAATGAAAATTTTAGCAGCAAGGGTGGAAATTTCTAGTTCTTTTTTGTGGATTTCTTTCTTACCTGAAAAAAAACTTGGGACGATATGTAAAGTAAAAACAGAATGCAATGGTTTTAGAAACTCAGAAACCCATATTTTATTCACAAGGGAACATAGAAAACATGCCAAATGTTTGAACTGAGAGATTTGACTGTTTCATGGGAAATATTAGCTTATTTAGACTTTGATGGCAGCAGACTTTAGAGTCTCCTGTCACGAGGTAGAGCTGTGAGTGATGGCGTGCAGGTGCAGTGACGCCTGTTTGGACAGCAGAGGGTACGAGAACCCCGTGAAAACGACGAGAGCCGCTCAATGGAACCGCTGAGCTGCAGTTTGCCGCTGAATGGCCGGCTGGAATGGCACTGGTTAGCGGTTCCTCCAGACTCAAATATCTAGCATTTTCACGTCTACTTTTATGTCTGCGCGCATTCGTTTTCTACCCCACCCGTTAGAGGTGCCGATGGATGAACTTTTAACCCGCTCAGAGCTCAGATGGGTGGACAGCAATAAATGGCTATGAGTGTAGTTTGCGATCTTCCAGAGAGTTTGGCTTTAAAGTGAAGGGATCTGGTTATGATCTTCTAATTCACGAAAGCTGTCTGTGTATCATTCCTCATTTAAGCCTTTAGTCTCTGTCAGCTCACCGAGCACGCTGCCATTTATCAGGCTGGTAAAAGCAGACATTGTTTTTTTTTTTAATTTCTAATGTCCCAGAGACAAGAAGATAACAAAACCGCCTGAAGAGTATTAGCAGGCAAATCATAGTGCACGACCTGTCCGAAAGAAACTCATGACTCCTACGGGAGCTGTAGCAGGGTGGGTTTTTGGTTAACTTCCTGGTATTACGCGGCTGTGCTGTCCTTTGATGACAGAAAAATAAAGGAGAAATTACCACACCACTCCCATAGAGTTTAACCCCCGACAACTACGACACACTGGCAGTTTGTTTCATACTAGCATATCAGTTCACGAAGCATAGTGTAACTGATACCTGCAGTCCAGGAGAAGCCTCCGCGCTGAGGCAGAGCCCACGGTTGGAGAACTGGGAGTGGTGGTGGGAGGGTCAGGAGAAACCCGGCACACAGTACGTTACCTACTGACTAACAGTGACCAGTCAGTAAGTGGACTGTCTGACACGGCGGTGAGACAACTCCAAAACCTCGGGCGGTGGAAGTGAGTGAAAGAAAAGCGGCATAGCGCATTTGACCTCGGCTGTTGTAAGGTAAGCTTTCATCCAGTTTAAACACAGATTTTAAGCTAGGTGCCTCCCGCGCGCTCCTCGGCAGTTGCCCCACTGTGCTAACTGTTAACTTTGGCTCTTTCCAACCTCACGGCTGCTGTACTGGTTACAGCTGTGATACCGGCCAGTCTCTGCTCAGTAATTCGTGACAGTGCAGCATGTTTGAGTGAGTGGGCTGAAAGTCCCCGTGTGCACCATATGGAGAGAAGCTTTTCACCAAAACGCCATTGTTAAAAAAAAAAATAATAATAATAATAATAATGTGGGGTTTAAACGCGACACAGCCTGTTTGTGACTCATTTTACTCAGTTAAACCATACATCAAGACTCGTAATACAGCAGCAGGAGTCGTATTAGTACAGTGTGGTTAAAGCGGTTAAACTCGGTTATCTACCGCTGCTTCATTGTCTGTCATAAGTAATATGTTAAATTGTGATGCATTTCAGCTAACCTAGCTAAGTGCTTAAGTTCAAAGTTTAAACATGCCCTGCTGGTGTGTTGCATATATACCGGTTTAAAGAATCAACATTACATGTGATTATTTTAAGTGTCTATGAAATCCAATACGAGACCCTTTTTTTGTTTGAATGAAGTTTGGTCTGGCATTCTCTCCTCCGTCATGCGTACACTTGTGTAGGCTTGTATTTTCTGGGAGCTGGCTCACTGGCGTTCATTGAAAAGCAGTGCTGTGGACTTTTAGCCACGTAGTGATTTGGCCTATAGCCCACAAAATCAAATCCTTCAGGTTGGGGTAGTCTTTTTATAGACGCGAGACAGACACAGATTAAGACAGCAACTACACGGCTCACGTCACAGGCTTGCACACCTGATGCAAGCAGAAGGTGCTGCGGTGTTAATCATTTTAAATGAACCATCTCTTAATGGAGCTTTAAGAGACCCTGTGTATGTGTCAGAAGACGCTGGACTTGTGCTGAGAGAGAGTGTCTGCAATTGAGGAAGGGCTTGGTCCACAAACCTGTCCACCTGTTATCCTGTGTGTGGTTTGGAAGAGGTAAACATAATGCAAGCAGCTGGCATGTAATGCAGCCCACAGGTGCTGATGGCTGTCACGGGATGAGAAATCTGACCAAAAATACTGAGGCAGTGTTATAAAACCATTATGCTGTTTTTATCTTTGAGGAAATTGTGTTTTGGCATCTGATCTGCTGAGCTTCATCTTGATTATAAGAGAAGTTGATTACCCACCCAGCAGAAAGGGGAACGCAAAATAGCCTGTGCTGTAAGTTAAATAAATGCATGTGTAGACAGAAACCAGAAGATAGAAGTTCAGACAAGTGAGCCAGAATGGGCGGGATAGTCCTCCAGGGGTCAAGCTGCAGCAAGACCAGCTGACCAGTTCCTTCAAGGTCACCTGAAGGGCAGGGCCTCCCTGTGCTGACTAGCATGCTGCAGCTGCTCCTCAGCGTCCTGTTAAAGTGCTCCAAGTTTGATACAAGCTCCTTTTTTAAATGGCAGCTTGTAACTGGAGACGATTAGCCCTGAAGCAGGGTTTTACTGATCTGCAGGGTGGTCTAATTTGGGTAGCTCTTTAAAGAAAGTGCACATGGTGGAATTTTCAGCGTGCACAGTCTGCACAATTATTCTACTTGGCACAAAATGCACATCAGCGTGCAGCAGTCAATACATTTTTCCAAAGCAGTTCCACCAGTTGTATACTCTGTGGTCAGTCACTTTTAGCTGCAGTTTCCATTGGGCTGATGTGGGCAGAGGCTTGAAGGCAGTTCTTCCCTTAGTGCTGTACTGCCGGCTTTATTTTATTTTAATGGGCTGGGCTTTCGGAGATATTTTGGTTCATGGCTGAGGCCGAGTTGTGGTGAGAGTGAAGTTTGGTAGTTTAGGGTGAGGTTGGGCTCTTCACTGGATGTATTCCTACTTCTGCATGGCTGGGTGTTTTCACTTTCCCACTTTAAGCACAAACACAATGCAAGGGTTTGTGAGATGGGTGCATGTGTTTTTTAGATTATTAAGATAACGTTATGAGCTCAGTTTTTTTTCCCACACTCTCAGTTTTAATTTCACATCTAATTCTTACACGGATTCACATGAGAGGAAAAAGTTTACTGGTCCTGGCTTGTTCTTTGCCTGTTTATCTGATCAAATACTAGTCATGCTTCCCTCCACATTGTTATGGAAGTTAGTAGATTCCTTCATGCCAGATTTCTGCTGCCAGTTTCTGCAGTGCATTGCAGTGAGACCAGATGGGTTAGGGGATTGCCTGGAGCTGAATAAATATTGAATAAAAAAGAACACTGGGCGACTCCCACTTTGAGCATTTTGTTTTGGCGGATACAGGACCTGCTGTTGATGGGGTGAAGGTCTTCCCTGGCCTGTAGTTGCTCAGCTGCATGTCAGGTGGACTGCAAAGGGCACACCTGACAGCCTGGCTCTTAGCCAGATCACTACCATCCGCTATACAACAGGAAGAGAGAGGAACGCTTGCATGTGTGAATGTGTGTTGATACACGCTAATGTACTTAAACTTTGCAATAGGAAATACTCACTGGGGGGGGGGAGACGGAGAGGAATTTCCCTTCATTAACCTCATAATGTCAACTTGTCCTGTCAGACTTGTTGATGTCAGCAAATGGGATGTGTGTTAAAGTTACGCTTGTCATGGTAAAGGGAGTGTAAACTTGAATGAGAGAAATGTACAAAACATTGGGTTTGTGGGCGGGAATACTGTCAGGGCCCATGCACAAGTAATGCCTCCTAGGTGACTAAGCTGCCTGCATGTAATGAGGTTTGGGTTAAGTAAAAAAAAAAATTAAATTAAATTAACTGCCATTTTTGTACTGAAGAAATTATTAGTTGAACTGTTGACTGTATATAAAAGATGGATGTAGACACAGTGGCATCTCCCATTGTTTTCTAGACTCTGCCCTTTGAAGCCTCAGAGTTAGCTGGCACGTTATTTATTTCTCAACTATAAGTGACCATGTTTGCACAGGAGGGTGGAGTGCTTAGTTAACAACTAACACTAGTGAGCTTGGTTGGTAAGCTGCGTCCATGAACAAATGCGATGTACTGACACATGATAATGATTAAAGTTAATACTGCAGTTTAAAAAAACAAAACTGAAGCAGAAACTTCATGCATGGGCTTTCACATACAGCATACCTAATATTTGTTAAATAATTTCATTAAAGATGCCAACACAGTCAAGAGACTCGATACTAATGGAAGTGAGCTCTAGTAGACGTTGGCTGTGTTGGTCATAGTATTAAACTAACTTTGGAAAAAAAAATTGGGTTGGGGACCACTGGTTTAGATGACGACTACCACTTGTTTGCATGTGGGAAATGAAATCAGACCTTGAAATGGGAAGGTGTTGGAGATGCTGGAGGGGAGCGACTATTGATCTACCCTTGGGCAGACAGACTGTTGGAGACAGAGAGCACAATAACAGATTAACAACAGCCATGTGGGCTGGTACAATCCATTTCTATGGTTGTAGACTTTCTACATGCAGAATAAACTTTTTTGTTTCTCATCTCACCACGACTGATTTCTGGATAAGCAATCTGTGAACAACTAGCAATGACTGTGTGCTTGTTTCTTAAAGGTTCAGATTTGAAATAACAGAATTGCTGTAAAAGCTGAAGTGACTGATTGATAGATTTATTTTTTGTTAATGCAGAAACTTTGTGTAGTTGAAGCACTGGATTAAAGAAAGTATTCAAAGGAATTCAGTTAAAGTTGAAGGACCAAAAGAAAGTGTAGATCAAAGTCATTTGAAAATTTTTCCCCAGTTGTTCCTGTTTTTTTTAATAAACTTGGAAGCCGATGTTATTGTAAGCATCAAAAGCATTGCAAGTACAATTTTCATGAACACTGACATTTGCATGTTAGAACAGCTCAGGTTTTTCATGTCATTTACAGGTTAAGACCTTAAAGTCCCTGTGACGTTAAAGTTGGCCTGTGATGCTATTCCTGGCATGGGTACTATAAAAGTACTAAATGCTCTTGTTAAACACAAACAGCATTTCAAACAATGAGGTCTGCATGTGCACAAGCATTACCTGCGGGCCCAAAGCATGAACTCGGACAGATTTCTTTCTACTCTTGGCTCTGTGTGATGAGAACAGGTATCCTTATATGGTCAAATGGCAAATGGCCTGTATTTGTATAGCGCTTTACTAGTCCCTAAGGACCCCAAAGCACTTTACACATTCAGTCATCCACCCATTCACACACACATTCACACACTGGTGATGGCAAGCTACATTGTAGCCACAGCCGCCCTGGGGCGCACTGACAGAGGCGAGGCTGCCGGACACTGGCACCACCGGGCCCTCTGACCACCACCAGTAGGCAACAGGTGAAGTGTCAAGGACACAAGGACTGAGACTGTCCAAGCCAGGGCTCGAACCGGCAACCTTCCGATTTCAAGACAAACTGCCAACTCTTGAGCCACAGTAAATGCCACTTGCTGTTAAAATTGACAAAAAAGAAGTTGTAATGTTTGTTCAAAAGAAAATTGGCTGAAAAACTGGATGTCTGCACACACAAAAGTTCTCCACTAAACATCCTGTATCAGTGAAAGCACAGAATCACAGTTAATGTCATTTACCTTTGTCACAGAATGATCTCGATGAAAAGATGTCAAATAGACAGGTAAGACTGCAGTAATTCAGTGCTTAGACTCAGTAGTGGGGTAAACATCAGTGCCATTTCAGTGTAACACCAGTCAGTCACTATAGTTAGGGTTAATCAGAATGAATCTCAAATAGTGAGCGACACTGCTCTCTTTATTGTTGCTGCACCACTTTACAGTTTGATGGTGTTTGTTAGTGTTAGGGTGCTGGAACCCTCTAGCTGAATGGAAGTAATGAGAGCTTGTCTCTGACAGTGAGTCAGAGTGTGTTACCTGTATGATGATGACTCGCAGTCTCGTAGGGTATGTGAGTACAGTATGTGCGCCTGGTTAGTTTTAGCTGTGGGCAGCTGCTTTAGCATTGCCA